ACCCGCGCCACCAGCCTCGCCGGCAGCAGCAGCAGCAGCAGCAGCAGCAGCAGTACAATCATCATTTACATTTTCATACAATTCTCCATCTGGAACAAGAGCAGAGTCTGTGTCAGAGCAGCGCACAGGAAATTTACACATTGTTATTTGGTGACAGTGAACAAACTGCCTTCACCGTCTCCATCGCTGCCGTCATCATCATCATCATCACCGTCGCCGCTGACGCTAACGCTGCTGCTGCTGCTGCTCAGTCTGAGTTTCTGTCCGGAGACATTTTCTACACTTTTCCTTCCCAAAGGAAATTGTAAATTCACTTTGAAAAGAGAAGCAATTTTCATCCAGACATTGGCGTCTGTCAGTTTGGTTTGTTTGTTCCTTTTTTCCTTCTCTCTGATAACTGTGTTTACATGCAGCTGGAGACAGAGAGTCAGAGAGATGAGATGGAACCTAAATCCCATAAAGTGAGGAAACAGGAAACAGGAGTCAGAACAGGAGTGAAAACACAGCTCCGTCAAACACTGACCAAATGATACGACATCCAGGAGTGAAGAACCAGAGGGAAACAGACAACTGACGCTACCAACTGACGGAACCAGAAGAAAACTAATCAAAAAGGAACCAACATCTGAACTCCACTCTGTCACAGCTGTGAATACAGAACACAACCCTGAGTAGAAAGAACCAGAAGGATTTCTGTCTCTGGAATGACAATGGAACTGGAACTGGAAGTCCTTCTCTGTCGCATTGTTTTTTGGATTAAACCAAAACAACCACAGAATAAAGTGAATGCAGCCACTAAAGGTCTCTCTCTCTCTCTCTCCTGTCTGTATTCCGTGGCTGTTTCAGCGTCTGTTGCCGTTTCCTAACAACATGTCAGGATGTGGCCCAGTTTGAACCGTAACTACTTCACAGAAAGAAAAAAAAAAACAACAACAACTGCCACCAGCTGCCAAATCCTCACACAGGCTCCTCTCTCCCTCGTCCTCTGTGTCACTCCCTCACCAGGACAGGACGGGACCATGGGACATTTTATTCTGTTGTTTGGCTCCTGGGTGAGAGGTGGGGGTGTGGGCCAGAGGGTGAGAAAAAGGGAGGAGGAGGAGAGGAGGAGCAGAGGAGGAGCAGAGGAGGCCTTAGAGACAAAGCACTTTTCTGTTCATTCTGAAAGTTCGCCAACAAACACAAATAGCGCTGCTGCTGAAAACACAGACTGGTTTTGTCAGGTGACCAAACGTGTACTTTACGCCGTCTACAGAAGCAGTTTCTACTCCAGTATTAACGGTTTTATCAGAGCGACAGTAGAGGCAGCAACTTCAGGAGTTTACTGTTGTTCAGTTTAGTTTGAGTTTGAACTTTTTCAGGAAACAAACATCACACCCTCGTGATGCAGGCCTTAGCATTTACCTAGTGATATTATAGCTGTCAGAAACAACTGTCAGCACAATTACTTTGGCCGTTTGGTTACGTGATGATTGAGGGAAGAATCATTTACGTTGATATGATGGTGCAACGAAGATGAGCAGAACCAAGAACTGACCGTTTTAAGGCAAAGTAAAACATCAAATAAAAAAAAATAAAATAAACAGACAAAACCTAATAGACCTACAGCAAATATTAAAACAAAACTGACCAAAAAGCAAAGACAAGATCACCAGAAGGAGAGGACACAGACCAGGGTGCAACAAAACCTGACCACAAGGTGGCAAAAACCGGCAAAAAACTGAAGAGGACCTTGAAGAAGAACATAAAAAACCAACAACAACAACAACAAACATTGGGAGAAAAGTTGACCACAAACAGGACAGAAGTGATTAGAAACAAAAAGACAAATAGGACACGAAACCTGGCGAACACTAAACCAATAACTGCAGGGCAACCAGTGTCAACACAGGGTTGTTTGTCACTGTTTTATAATGACAATCTCAAATGGTCCATAATGATTTTTCCAAAATGGCCAAAAGAAACATGGCTGACCCAAGATGGCGGCCTCCAAAGTGAATGTTTCTTCTAATGATAGAACACTTAAAGTAACTGTCCTCTGAACAGATGACGTGTATTTACTGAGAGTATGTTTTCACTGCACCAGGAAAATCTCATAAATAAATGTTGCACATTGGACCTTTAATCCTCCTCTTCTCTCCCTCACTGCTCCCCAGCCTCTCTCTGCCTCTCCTCCTCTCCTGTCCAGTCCTCTCCATCATCTCTCCATCATTCTCTCGTCTCTGGTCTTGCTGTAGTGTACTGATAGTGGAAGCACTTGTGCAGTGGGCTATGAAGCCTCTCCTCCTATTCCCTCGCTGCCGCGCCGTCTCCCTCCACGGCTGGAAATTAATTTGGTCTCCTCCAGATGCCTATCGGTGATGAAATGCCCCCAGAAATAGATCCACAAACAGCAGCTCAGCCAAAACGCCGCTAACCCCGCTTAACGCTGCTAATGCTGCCTGACAGCTTTTAGCAGCAACACACGCTGCTGGCTGAAAGAAGGGATGGAAGGAGGAAGAAGATGCCATCAGATGGTCAAACAGACAGACGGGGAGTAAATGGCCACAGACCAGGAAAAGGACAGAGCTGACTGGAGGAAACTGAGGAGGAACGTTCATGCTGCTCTATGGAAACTTTACTCCATACTACTGTGGAACAAACTGACACAACCAACAGACAGGACAGAGCCAGCGAACCAGCCAATCACCAGGGTTTCTCCGATCCCATCCCACAGCTAGTACACGTTTATACAGTTCTAAAAAACTAAAACCAAATGTCACTGATATCATCTTAACTTGAAAGATTTGAATAATAAAGCTAAACCCTATGGTTTTCTCTGAGGAGTAATGCCCCCTGCTGGCAAACCTCAGAAACCAATATCGATAACAATATCGTCTTAAGGACTTCACATATAGATGAAACAGGAGCAGTGGGCCACTGGGATTTTGATGCTGGCTCAACTCGTCACCTTCCTCCCAAGGTCAGGATTCAAACCAGCAAACCTCAATTAACCCGTTAAGTTCAATCTTTTATCCACTCGGAAACAGGCTCGATATGAGATAGACTCCTGAAGATTGAATTCAAAATAATGTTTCATTGCAGTCGAGTAAACGTTTTAATGTTGGCCAATTGGTTTATTTAGAAAACCATGTTTTCCTGTAGGAGCGATGTATAAATCATTCAGATTTCCTGCGTTCACAGTGATGACATTTCAGGAACAGCAGCAATGAAATCCCAGTATAAAAGTGTGTGAACTCTTCTTCCTCTCAGCTGATCACGGTTGGACCAACTGGACAGCTGTGAAGTCTAATTTCATCTTTATACATTTGACCTTTAACCTCTCTGCTCTTCAACAGCACACATATGCAAATAACCTGATGCTGAGCTGCTGCTCCGCTTTGACCCGGGACCTGCGACTGACTGAGGGCAGAACTCATCCTCCTGGGCTGATAAACTAACTCACCATCAGAGGTTTCCATCAACGTCTAAGACCAAGGTTCACAAATTAGCAGAGAGTTGGTGAAAGAAAAACACTTTCAAATACGAGAAATAACTGATTCCATTCTCGTTCATAGGGGTTTAGTGTTCTGTGGAACACAGCTGACCTGTGTGTGTGTGTGTGTGTGTGTGTGTTTACCTGGAGGACATGTTACCTTAACATGAGTTAAGGCAACAACAAGAAAATGACTGTTTAAAATCAAACTCAATATTATATGAGAATAACAAACAAGTGATGGTGAAACAGAAACATCACAGTCAATGCAGAAACTGCAGATGTGTCGTTTAAATATTCAAAACTAAGTGAAGATAAAGCGGATTAAATACAAACTTTTTTACCCAAATGGAACAGATTTAAATTCCACATCAACCTATCACACACACACACACACACTGGTTTGCACGTCAGCTCCCCACAAATCCTCAAGTCCTTAAACGCATCATGTTGCTTTTACAGGCCCAAAACACTGTTCAGTTCAGCAGCAGGATGGACATGAAGGTGACGACTGTTCTCACTGATTCAAACGTCAACAGAACAGAATAGACTGAAACTACAATGACTGTGCAGCAACTGTCTCTCACACAGAAACACAGAAACACAAACAGATTCATTTAAATCCAGTGGAGACAGTTCAGAGTGAAGGCACAACAACAACACCTCATTAATTTAACTTTATTCAAGTGTAAATATTTGGAGGGAAATAAAAACGAGCCTTTCAGTCAACAGGTGAGCAGACTGTGTGACTCATGGGTGCAGAACAGAATAGAACAGAACAGAATAGAACAGAACAGAATAGAATGAACCTCCACCAGTTGATTCATGTGCTGCTCCTAAAAGCCTCCTCACCAACTCTAACAATAACAATAATAATGATGATGATGATGATGATGAGAGTCAGTGAACCAGCTCTGAGGTCATGTCCGGGTCTCCTCACTCTGACCTGCACGCACGCGCACACACGCCATCATACTTGGCTGCACATGGATTTCCTCGAACACACCTCAAAGCGTCAACACGCTGCATATGGCTTCCACACGTGCACACGCGCAAACGGCGTGTGTTCATGCACGCGCACACGCTGCCAATCACCCACACGAGAGATTGAGAGAGACACGGCGAGGTAATTTGCAGACAGCGACCTGTTACCCACACACGCACGTGCACGCACAAGCTCCACTCTCCAGTGACACCTCGAGACCGAACCACAGCACAGTGAGGCGGTGGCAATGTGTGTGTGTGTGTGTGTGTGTGTGTGAGCATGCTGGAAGGACGTGCGTGTGTCCGTGTGCGTGTCTCCAATCCGAGCCCGGGTTACCGTTCTCTCCGTGTCGGGTCCTGCTGCTGGATGCTGGGCTTGGTGGGCGCCATCTTCCTGCAACAATTTATTTCTCCCTGACTTTCACCTCCTCCGCCTCCTCCTCCACCGCCACCTTCTCTCTCTTCTCCTGCTTCTGCCGCTCCGCCGCGCGTCTACTTGCACGCCGTGCCGCGTTGGCGGCGGCACTGCCGCTGCTGCGCTGCGCCCTGACAGCAATGCGTCATGGTCGGCGTGTTAAGACAAAGCCATGTCCGTGTCCGTGTGTGTGGGAACGTCAGGAGTGTGTGTGTTTGTGCGTGTGATTTTGACCGTGCGTGATGTGATGTTTTCCGTCTCCTCCTTCTCTTGCTCTTCCTCCTCCTCCTCCTCCTCCTCCTTCTCTTCAGGAGCGTGGAAACAACAGGCGGCAGACAGCGGGCTGCAGCAGCTCAGCCATGCTGAGCAGAGTGAGGGGAAGCCGGGCTGGATCCTCTCTGATCCCCGCTGTGTCTCTCAGCTGTTCTCAGCCTGTGTGTGTAAATGTGTGTGTGCCTGTGTGGACACTGGAATCTCCTGCATGCGTTCCAGAGAGAGAAATGGGAGGAGAGAAAGGAGGAGAGAAAAAAAAATCCCCCCAAAAAACAGGCGCGTCACATCTTTCCATCCGCTCCGCCGCTGCAGCGGTGAGTCGCGGTGAAGGTCCCCCGCCTGGGAGCGTCTCGGTGCGGCTACAGCCTCTGTGCTTCTTCCCTGATAACAGGAGGAGAAGGAACCAGAGAAACAGCAGCGAACATCTCCGCTGTTTTCCTCCTCGTATGGCGCGACACCGCGGCTCAGTTGCAGTTGGAGTTTGCGTGCGTGCGTGCGTGTGCGTTTGCGTGCGTTATTTAAATCTCCCTCTCTTCCTGTACGACGGGAGGTCGCGTGTACCGCCGACAGGGCCGACGCCGCCGCTGCTGCTGTTGTTGTTGTTCCCACTGTAATCCAGATCCTCAGTATTTATCCTCATTGATATTTCTATTATTTATAACATTATTCCTGCTTTGTTGCCAGATTTAAATGCGCTAAAACAGCGTGCACCAAAGGATGATGGGTGATTTATTAGCCTTCCTTCTCCTCCACCTTCTCCACTGTCACAGTAATAAACACATCACAGCAAACGTCTCACTCACACCTCTGGCTGAGGGGATCTGACTCCTCATCTGTGTCGTTTTTGGCATAAAATAATCAAATAAACTCAAATAAAAAAAATCACACTTTTCAGGATTTTGGAACAGAACCATTAAATCAAAAACCACAGCCTGCTGCTCCGTTTTTAATGTTTCACTGGCACTAAAATTTATTTCCCATCTCCACAGGTTTTGATGTTTGCACCACATCAGCGACACCTCATTATCCTCCACCGCCACCTGCTTCTCCTTCTCCTCCTGTTTTATTCCCACTTCAATTTTTATTTAAATTTTCTTTCTTTTTATCTCTTTTTTTATCTGTATAATCCTCTGTGAGCTCAGTGTTGGTGTGATTAACCTCCAGCTCTGCTCAACCTGAAAGCTGCCTTGACACACACACATATACACCAATGACCTGTCAAGGTCAAAGGCATGCTGGGTATTCTCTACGCAAACACGGGGTTTACGGACACCACCGCCGCCGCTGCCGCTGCTGCTGCTGCTGCCGCCACCCCTATTGCTGATGCTGCGACAGGAAATTAAGGGGAAGGAGGAGGAAGGAGGGGAACGTTGACCTGCGGATAATGACAAATTTGTCGATCGACAGACGTGTGAACGTTCTTTAGTCTAGAGCCAAGTGTTGACATGTCGTTTCTAGTATCACTGATGCAGATTTTACTGCTTCATTCACACAGGAGATTTGTGACAAATGAAAAATGGTAGAAACGTTCAGGTTTTTTTAAATAAAAACCCACTGTGTAAAGGTCACAGTTTTGACCTTTAGGGCAAGTTAATTTAGGGCAAAGCCAAATTAAAAAAAAAAAACTTTCAGAAAAGCAAAAGATTAAATATACAGAGGCAGGATTAAATAACTGGGGGCAAAAACTTTGAGCAGTCAAAAGACACGCCTTTTTTTGTTGTGAAATGTTTTGCAGATGATGCCATGATTTATCGCTGTAAATCTGAGGTTACTGTTTATTCTGTTGGTAAAAATAAAAAGGGGAAAAAAAGGCATCAACTTGATAAAAAAATAAGATGTTTTTTATAGTCTGCTCCACAGATAAAGATACTGTTGTGGATTTATACTAAAAATACATTTCCATGTTTTTTTCCATTTGTTTCTAGATAGTCAAGTTCAGCCGCCTTTGAACGCAACAGTGTGGTTAGTTTGACAGACGATGCAGTGATGTCCTGCTGTGAAGTTACTTCTAGAAATTGCTTACTTGCAAGTTTACTGTCGAGTAAGGATTTTTTTCCTTAATCTTTTTGTGAAATTAAAGCAGGACTTAAATTTCAAGTTTGAACTCTAAACAGTAAAATTTGTTTCATATGTGGTGGAATGAAAAAAAAGTTAAAAAGTAGCTGTCTGTAACTCGATAAAGTTTGAAATTATTTGATATTCACAAATAATATAAAATTAAGGGGGAAAAATGCTTAAATCTATTTCAAATATGACTTCCTTTCTGAAGCATTTAAACATTTGACCGACGATGCAGTGATTTATAGTTCTAAATTTTTTAACATAAAACGAGTGATTCTATATTGGAATTTGTTCATGAATATTTGCCTAATAAAAAGTCTGGATAGTGGAGCCTTTTACTGCTGGAGTTTGCCAAAACTAAAGTATGTTTAGTTTTAGAGACGATGCAGTGATTTACATGTAAATATTTACCTTAATTTCCTATTTATGAAATTACCTAATATTACAGAAAATAATAATAATGTTTAAAAATTATAAACTACACTCTGGTCAAAGCTTTTTCATCTTTTTATGCTTGAAAAGTGGATTCAAACAAATAAAAACTTGTAAAACCAAAAAAACGAAAGGAGAAGAAACTGATGCTTGTGTTCTGTTCAGTTTGAAAGAATCACAATACAGGATTTAGGGGCAGTAGTAAAACTAGTAAAATGTACTCTGTGGTCTGGACACAAGATGTCATCTCTGTCAAATGATTCAGCATCAGTTAAAGTAAAAGCCTTCGGCTGCTGCTGCTGCTGCTGCTGCTGCTGC